AAGTGTAAGACCAAGTCGTTTTAATAAACATTCAGTAATCTAAAAATAATCTTTTTCTCTATCCTTTCATTTCACTCTAAATGTATCAATACTATTAATTTATAATAGGTATAAGTGTATCTGTGAGAGATTATATAAGACTCATTTTACTTTCTATATAAACATATTTCAACATACGGATACTACAATAGTGCACATATTCTATATTTATATTGACTATGTGATTAATAATCTCATGATTTCTTTTTTTGGGGATATGATGTAAGGATTGCTTCTATCTAAATTCTTTACGTTGAGCACTAGTCGATACTAAACGGTATTGGTATAGTGATATGCCTAATAACTTAATTTGATTAATAAAATTATTCTATAAGTATACTAATAAAGTATGATGAAAATTAAACTTACAAATGAAATATTCTTTCTTTTAATTCCATGTAAACGAGCATAAAAATAAAGATGTTCACGTGCTGTTAATAAAGAATCAAGTGCATCAAATTGTGGACAATAACTAAAAATATATACAATCAAACAGGAATGAATAGCTTTTCTTTTTATTATACCCTATATGTTGATGAACAGCTTCTAATTGTTTAATAACACTATAATTATTGACAAATGCATTTCCATTTGTTATTGAAATTTCTCCAGTTAACATTTTAAATGTTGTTGATTTTCCTGAACCATTTATACCTAATAAACCAAAACATTCACCTTCTTTAACACCAATACATGTTTTTTTTACAGCTGTAAATTTTTTTCCAAATCTCCATCCATAAACCTATGGAAAATAAAAGAAAAAAAACAAACCTTTTTATGTTTATATTTTATAATTCCTACTTTAACTAAATCAATAATACGTAAAATGTCACCCTTTATATTATTATGATCTGTATAAATTCTTTTTCGTTCTTCAGCTACATCCTTATCTTCATTTGATAATATTAAATCTTTCGGTGTTCGAACACAAATACTAAATATGAACAAAAGTTTCAACTAAAATATTCTTATTTAATGTTGTTTTCTTACCGATCAGGAATAAAAAAACGATATTGAACAAATATTGCAAATATAAAAAAAACAAAACCTTCAATAGATAAACATATTATATTTTGACCAACAATATCAAATTGAAGTGGTGATTTAGGAACATAACCTGGTACTACAAAAATAAACAAGTATTTATGATTGTAAAATTTCAAGAGACAAAAAAAAGAAGAAGAATCAATCACTAACTATATCTAAGACTAATTACATTTGTTTGATAGTTTGTACTTAAATCAAATAAACCACGTCCGAAACAATAATGTGGAAATATTAAGAATAATTTTGTTAAAAAATTATTAACTTTTATTAAATCTGGTTCATTTTTCAATGTTTGTAATATTACTGTTGATATTGTTGTCATTAAACCAATAAATATATTTAATGATGATATAGCAACAAAACCAGTTGATGCCGTTTGAAATAAATAATTTATTGAATACATTAATGGTATTAATGCAAAACCATATAAAAATAATAATAAGACAAAACAAACAAAATTCGTTCGACTTACAAATGATTCAATATTAAAAGCAACAAATATAATAATAAAACATCCTATTGATACACAATAATTAATTAAATCCCAAAGAAAATTTGCAGATCAATAAGTTATACCTTCGAAAGAAAAAAATAATTTTATTTTTTGTTTTTTTTTTGGTATTGAAAATTTTAATTACCTTTAACACCACTAATAAATTGTAAATGTTTTGAATTTGTTGAATGTTCATCAATAAGAAAAACAATAAAACTTGCAGGAATAAATGCTAATGCAAATAAAATACATATAACTGTTATTAATTCAGACGTAATAACATCTTCTAAAGTATCAGTATTAATTTCAACTTGTATTTGTGGTAATGGATGATTAATAGCTATTATACCATAATCAAACATTGAAACTGAAGAATCTTTTTGAAGAAGTACACCACGTAATAATGCATTATTAAATACATTTAGCAATCCTACACTTGCTGGCCATCCTTTATTATTATACCAAATCTTAAATAACATATAGATAAGAATATGGAATACATTGTAAAAATTTTCGTATTGCGAAAAACCTATTCAAAAGGACTTCTGAACGCTCGAAAATCAAAATTCATTTTCAGGATTGACTCGGAAATCCTTTCGAATTGACTTTCCATAATATAGAAATTTTTAGTGTGTGTCAATCATTTGTCCACATCTAGAACTTACCACATGCAAAAGTATAAAACTCGGTTCGAATTAAACTGTAATTTTAAAACACTCAATGAAATTTTCTTGGTTGACATATAATAATCGATCCAAAAAATTCGAGATCCTTTTTATTCTCTAGTGAATAACTAGTGTATCTTACACATTTAAAGTGTGACAACAGAGATAGAGAATATAATGATGAGAGTAATGCGGCTTGTCCATGTAACTCGCTACCTCACTGATTAAGTTTTGAAAAGTCTCAAAAAATTTTTTTTTCGAGGGCAGTAGATTCGGAGACAAATTATTAGATGCAGATTTTAGTGCTGATTACGAATTTGACATTAATTTTGTAAAAACCTTAAGTTTTCATGTCGAAAAACTAGTTTTAAAGTTTTCAAAAATCGTATTTTGAATTTATTGATCGGAAACGTTTTTCAGGCAATAATGAGAATCATATCATTCGACGCAGAATTTGATTCTCTACAAAATGGTATATTCACGTTTTTCATTTATAACGAACAACGGTTCATAGAATGCCGTACAGTTCCCAACTTCTTGAATAGTTTATGGGCTTCTGGCTGGATGTATCAATCTCATTCTTGCATAAAACGACCACGCATACACGGAAGATTAATTACTATATAAATCAAGTCATTTTGAATAAGTTAAGTACCTCAAAAATTGAAACAGGACTTAATGTGTCACAGCGTTACGTTTTCTTTTTTCATTTTTTGAGCGAATGATAACGATTAGAAGAAAAAATTTTTTTTCATTCGACAGTTCATTTTATGCTCTACAACTTTGATTTCAGGTTCATTCCATTTGGAAATTGCCTTTCGTTGAAAATTTTCGTCACAGTGTTACGCGACTATAAACCATTTCTGTACACGAAATAGTTCAATAGAGAATCATCAAGGGTGTGGGTGTGGGTGTGGGGGTGTGGGTGTGGGTGTGGGTACGGGTGGGTGTGGCTATAGCTGAAGGAAAGAGGCACACCAACACTCACACACCCACACCCACACCCACCCACAAACCCGCACCCACACCATCCACAGCTACAGCCACAGCCACCCACCCACCAACCCACACCCACACCCTAATTATTGACTTAGAAACCTTATAATCCATGACTTTAATAGACTTCAAAATCTGCTTGAACAGTAATCGCCACGCATAAGAGATTTTTGATGATGAAAAGCATTCGTGTTGATACAAGAAATGGAGTAATATACTCATGATCTTGATATATTTCGACTGACGAGAGTACTTCACCAACGGATAGCCTAGGTTTAAGCTCATATTTTTCTCCTCGGTAGGAATCATAGTGCAAATAAAAACCATAGATGAGTTTGTGTCCATCAGCCTTTCTTCTCTAGTTATGATCATTCTACTGAATATTTCACTCATGAAAAGGCATCATAAAAAAGCTGCAATAAGAAATTTTCACCAGAAAATTTCTTCAATAACATTACTCATAATGATTATTATATCTTGAAGCTTTCAGCTAAAACAAATGCTTCTCTCTCTCTCGATAATACACTTTTCATAAAACACTGCTTTTTTTTACGAAATCTCCAAAAAATGTCCATTTTAAGGGTATCCTGCGTGTTTACTCATTAGCTACAGGTACATGATATATGATGCCTGGTTATTAGCCATAATATCTGTGAAAACTGTTAGATAGATGACCAGCTTTCCTGTTTTATCTTTTACCGTTGCCACCTTTTCAGAGAAGATGACAACAACGGCAGACAAAACAAAAGAAACGACCGACTATCTAGTTACTCGTACAGATATCGCTCACAAACAACAAGGTATCATATATGATACTTTCATAGCCATCGGGTCAAGAAAAACTCATTTATTTGTGCTGAACGTTTTAGGATATAATAAGGATCACACACTCTGTTATTGTGGAAATTTACAAGCGAAAATGTCTTGTTGCAATTTTTTTTACTGTTTTGTCATAGACTGAAAGTTCAGTAGAATGACCATAACTCGGGAGGATGGGCCAATGAACACGAGTCCCTCTATAGTTTTTATTTGCACTATGATCACTATCAATTAACAAAATATGAGCTTAAATGCGGAGTATCAGTTGGTGAGATTCTCTCGTCTAGGGGTGAAAAGTTACCAGTTACCTGGGTAACTGGCGACTTCCTACCTCTACTCTCGTTAACTGTTTTCTAAGCTTTAGCGAAAGTGGAAAAATCGAATGAGGAACATTTCACAATTTCTCAAATTAGAAATTTTTCACTGCCTAGTGCACCATTAAGAGATGATGGTTATCTTTATTTCGATGAAAAATAACCTTTTTCTTGCCCCCCCCCTCCCTCTGAGAAATGATTTCCCACTTGGAACGAGTCTTTCGAGCTGAAAATTTCAGTGATGAGTGATCCTGGAGAGATACGCTCTTCGTAAAAATTTCAGCCCGATAGGCCATACTAGACCGGAGTTTCGGCTGAATCATAGGTCATTTTTGACCTTCAGGAGAATCGATATAACTTTGTCATAACACGAGATATCGAGCTTGGGCTAGTCTCAAATTAAAGCTAATGTCAGTACGCAACTTTTGCCAGAACAGAATTTTTAAATTCAATCTTATTGAATTTTTATTACCATTTTAGTAGAAGTGTCTAAAACTTAGCATAAAAAATGGTGATCCAACGATAGTATATTCTACTTTTCTCATCGTAGGAATCAACTTTAAAAAAACTGGTCGGATTAAAGTTTACTCTCATTGAGACCTTTAAAACAAAAAGAAATATTGGATATAGCGCTAGTCGAACTGGAGTTATTTCACTTTTTCTGCTTGGAAGCCATGTTTCGAGAAAAATGCTAAAGAAGTTCCAGAAACGGATTTTTTCATTCAAATCCAGAAAAAATCATATTACAATTGCACACCTAATACATTTTAGTAAATCTTGTTAAAGGATGTAACAGATGGAGATAGCTAACGCCATCTGTCATTCTGGTTAATATAGAAATATTCTATTTAATGCTAATGCAATTGATAACTCAGTTCTTCCAAAATAGAAAAACACGAAAATTTCTCCAAAAACCTGATAGTAAAGTCCAAGCCTTTTGTAATCAGTGTGTGAAACTTTAATCGCTTTTCGAAAATCTATATATACTCTGAAAGAGAAAGCTTCGATGCATCTTCCTATAACAAAAATTCAACTTCGGTATTTTATCGAAAAATTTGGTTTTCTGAGGGGGCCTAACTGGCTGTTTCGGAGCAGTTGAATGAAAAATTGATTTGAAACAATTGTAGTTCTCTGAAATCAAACTAAATACTTTTTAACGAGTTAAATGCAGACTTTTAAAAAGATTCATGCTGTAATTTTCAGATGTAATTTCTTTTACAATACTTATTTGTTAGGAACAAATATCTCGTTATTTCTGTCCTTTCATACTATTTCCGAATCTTTTACAATAATGGCTCAAAAAACAATATCCACTATGACTTCAATGAAAGAAATTTGACAAACCTGCGCTGTAGTTCGCCATATTATTTATGTTCCAATTCTTAAGAAACATAATGAACCATACAAATATGCTTACGATGAAAATCCCAAGTATGAATAGCGCAAAACGCATACTAATGTCCAAGAACATCAATTTAGTATGCACTTTTCTGAAATTAAAAAAAGAAAAAGTGTATTATTTATTTTTGAGTAATAGAAGCAAAGGCAGTATGAATGTTGAAATCACGAGGTTAGGTGTCGAATGAAAAATAGTTTTGCTTCCTCAGCTACGATTGCTCTCTCTTTCATTGGCAAATGGGTAGGTTTCATCGTTGGCCAAAGTACTCCAAATGCTACCATTAAAACTTTTCTTTCTATCAGGAGATGTTCAACTATTAAAGAAATCATATTTTATTGCAAAAACTTAGAAACAATTGATCTGCTTGAAAAAGCAATATTTTCAAGAAGCATTTGTTCAAATTGAATTTTTGCAGTAAAACATCGTCATGATGAAACTTATTCGGGTGCAACAATGCAGACAGAAAATACGACAATAGGTTTTATTCGAACAAGCTTGAGAATAGATCAAGCCGTGATTAAAATATCCTTCAGCATTAAACAACTTGCTATAACAAATTTAATAACCGAAGTGTCCGCCAAAAAGAGAGTTCAAACTTGGAAATATTTCCTTGTGATTACTACCAAATAAGCATATTAGTTGTAATGTTGATGAACGAAGCTTTTATAAACTTACGGCATTTCCATTTGATCCTTATCTTTTTCACCGAATCCTTGCTCTGGCATCGTTTGTGATATTGATAATTCTTTATTACCAGAAAGTTTGGAATTAACGGTGTTAGGTTGTATCCTAAAATGTAAGACTCAAAGCATGAAGTAAATGTTGAAATAGCAAAGAGCAAAATGTGAGTTTGGATTTGTGAAACTATTGATGTGTATTGCGGTGAAGAAGTGATTTTTTTAACGCTTAGCCATTTCCTGGTGCACTTGCTTCAAGAACTGAGTGACTGCAGACAAGGAAAGACTTACTGAGATATATTTTCCTTGCTGATTTCTTGCAGTTAGGTTAGCTGATATATATATATATATGTATCGGATAGGAAACCATAAAAAGCAAAATCAGTATTTCATTGTTATCCTTTCGATTTTTCGCTCCTCAACTTCATGACAATTTTTTTAAAGAATTTCTTCTTTGATTCATTTCAAAATTACTTTGAAACAGTTGATATTTAATAACAAATGGAAAAGTCAGTATAGCCTCGTTTGAAAGCTGTAGCATGTTAAAAATTTCAAATCATTTTTCTCGAAAACTTCTAACGGTTTTCTAACGTCCTATAAATTCAACAA